GCAGACCCCTACCCTAACCCCACATGGTTGTGTCCCATACTCATCAGGAACTGAGATGGAAATGTGTCCCCAGATTTGCTGAGAGTGTGCGTGGTGGTGGGTCCTGGCATGGTGGAGGGGGCATATCTTCCTGCTAGCGAGTCCCAGCTTCCACCTACCCCCTTTATACATACACACACACACACTCACACACCCTTTGGGCATTTGGGTAGGGGATAGCTGGGAGCTTTCCACTTGGACTCTCTAAAACAACTATTTCAACCTGTCTGGTGGTTTTCAGGGACTAGAATATTAATTGATTTTCAGCCACTAACTTTCAGCAAAAAGACGTCTGGTGAATTAACCTAGAACACACTAGGCCTGTTTAACTCTGTCTTCCCTTAATACACAACATGCTTCCTGACCTGACATCTGCTACCTCTATCCCCACAACTACACCAGTACTCCCAGCACACTTAACTAAACATATGCCTGCTGCCTGAAGGGGACAAGCCAAGTTAAATAAACTTCCAGTGGAACAACCACTAGAGAACCATTCAGTGCCCTTTGGTCTCTTCCAAATAGTAATAACTTTGTCATCCAACTCACAAATACTAGTTTTATAAGAGCAAGATAGCATACTGGGGAAGGCGGAATTCCATCTGGAGTCAGAAGGTCAAAAGTTCCAAGGGCAAAGAAAAAGGACTGTGGACGCAGTGTGACCCTGAGGAAGGGTTTTGGCATTAGATGGACTCCTGTGTGACTGTGGGCAAGCTACTAAATGTTTCTGAACCCTGAGTATGTTGTTTTTTTCACTTTCCAAAATGGGCATGACACCTCGTTGAGCTGCCGTGATAAACTATACATGCATGTATATGTGTATATACATACACATACATATACATGCATTATACATATCCATGCATGTATATCATACTAGCACACATAATTTGCTCAATAAATGACGGTAAGTTACGATTACCCCCTGGAGAATTCAGCAAAGCCCCTACAAGGGACTATTACTGCAGGGATAAAGGGTTTGCTTTCCTCGGGGATTAAAGTATTGGTGCTCCATGGAATTAACTGATAGATCTTTAGAACAAGAGTGGGGGAGTGGACATTTAACAGACTCGACCTTGTAGACTTTTAATCTGCCAGCGTGTCCTGTTTGTTCTCCCATCAAAACACAGCTTAAAGATGACCATTTCTCACCCACAGCCAGCCCACTAACCCAAGCCATTGTCACCCCTCTCTGGACAGCTGTAAGGGCCTCCCCCATCCCCTCTCAGTGCTATTTCTTCTTTTTGCAGTTTGTGGTCTCCTGATCTGATCTAAAGTCTATCTGATCTTTAAAGTCAGATTACAACCCTCCCTCCAGTGCCTCCATATCACTCTTAGAATCCCCAAAATTTTCTGTGGCCTCCAAGTCCTAACTTGCTCTGACCCTGGCTACCTCCTAGATGTTATCTATAAAACTCACCTGTACTCGTCCGTGGGCCATACTGGATGGTCTTACTCCTGGACACCTCAAGTATGCCTCAACCACAGGGTCTTTGCACCTGCTATATGTTTCATGGGTCACACCTTTGCTTTATTTAGATCCCTGCTCAAATGTTACCCCCTCAGATAGGCCTTCTCTGATCACTGAGTCTAAAATAGCATTGCACCTTACCTTCCATTTCCTCCCCTGCTTTTTGATTCATTATAGTAAGTTCACAACTTACTATGCATGTGTATTATCTGCTTATTCATATACATGGTTTAGGATCTGTTCTCCAATACAATGAAGGTCTTTTGATGAGGGCTTCTGACTCACTCAATGCTATGTCCCCAGGGCTTTGGAACAGTTCCTGACACCCAGCAATGACTCAAGATATTAATCAACTAAAATGAATTTCTAGTCACTGATCAAAACAAGTAACCTGTTTTTCAGCCTCTGTTCTCATACCAGATCCTTCTTCTACAACTACTACATCACTAGCCCACCCTGGAAAAGTCCTAATGAATCACAGAGGGAGACCTCCTGTCTAAGAAGGGAAAATCATTTTCCCCCTTTTTGCCATCTCTGGCAGAATCCAACTCATCAAAAGTTCTTGACATTACCGAATGAGAAACGACTCAAGTGTGCAAGCTGGATGCATTAGGAGGTGTCCTACCCTGTTAAAAGCCTAGTCCCAAGTGATACCCAACAGAGCACACATTCTTTTGGATCAACCAAAACAAAACAACAAATACCATTGTTGAAACCCTTGGGTATGAAAATATCATTGTAAAGATGATAGTCTCATAGATCACAAATGTTAATGAAAAATGGCTATTCTATGTAGCTACAAAAAGCAGGCCAGACATGTTGGCGCACTCAACAAAAGACCCATGTAAAAAGGTATCGCTATTTGGAAAACTGGAAGAAAAAAATCCTGAAATGCTGCTGTTCTACTCCTTAATGATTTTCATCTCATGATCTCCACCCTAAGCCCCAGACAACTGCCTGTGCTTAGCCCATCCACCATGGGTATCAATGTGACAATAACACCTCTTTATACGAATTTCAGTTATAACATCCATCAAGCCCAACACTGAAATGTTAAGCATGTTGATTTTTTGTTCTCCATTTAAAAAGAGAACTTGCCTTTTGTCAAACTCTGATATCCAGTAGATAGCAGGATTCAATAAACCTGCCCTAGTAAATGTTTTTATAGGGAGGTGAGACCTCATTTACAGTAGTGCTGTTTAGAATGTGGGTAATGGGCACAGCCATTTTTTAAAATTTTATTTATTTTTTAGACAGGCTTGCTCTGTCGCCCAGGCTGGAGTGCAGTGGCACGATCTCTTTCCACTGCAACCTCTGCCTCAGCCTCCTGAGTAGCTGGGATTACAGGCACACCCCACCACACCCGGCTAATTTTTGTGTTTTTAGTAGAGATGGGGTTTCACTGTGTTGGCCAGACTGGTCTTGAACTCCTGACCCTCATGATCCACCCAGCTCAGCCTCCCAAAGCAGGTTTTTTTCAGCTTGTAGGAGATGCCCTAGAAGGCTTTCATTGAAACCACAAGTTACAACCTTTGTTGACTGAGCCGTTATGATTTTTCATTTTCGCTCTATGAGGAGAGTGAACTTGCTGGGAGATAATCTGACATTTGATTGATATGGGTGTCTCCTTTTTCATGCTTCATTCAAAATTCAGAGTTCAAATGGAACCTTATGAAGCATAAACATTATTAAAATGGCCATCAAAGGAACAGGGATACCTCTCTCAATCTGAAATGTGATCAATCGCAATTCATTAAGAATTTACTGAGCAGCCACCTAGATTAGGTAGATGGAAACACCACACTCAGGCAAACTTTCGTTTTCTGTTGCCTTTTTTAGAGATACTGTGTGTGGATCACTTGCTTACAAGGCAGGGTTTGTTAAGTCACGGGGCAAAATCAGTATCTTTTTCACGTTTGATCTAAGATGTCCAAATATAACCTAACATACTGGAACCTGGAACATGCACAGGGGTTAACAGAAGGCAGAAGCTCTAGTGCACTGAGGCATCTACACATGATGCCTATGTACATTTTAAATTAACATTATTCCCCACCCCTACCCTCCCATTCCAAGCAGTCTCCCTTTTCGTTGCATGCTCCATTCCACTAAGGCTCCGAAAATGTTAAACAACTGTAGTATTGCGGGAACATTCCCCTGCCACTCCCAGCAATTCAATTAACCATTGCATCTAGCGTTGGGCATTAGTCAAGTGTTAAGGATGTCGTCACCTCTCACAGTGAGAAGCAGAGACATGAATTCTAGGGGTTAAGAGGGAAATTGCAGGACCCATCAAAGGGGTTTTATAGAAATAGAGTATACTATTGCTTTAAGATGTCAGCATGCATCATGCATACTTCTTGAACTCACCGGGTAAGACTTTAAACCCGTTATAAAGGCTGAGGCTGACCATATCAATAAAACTGACCCTGCCTTTTAGAACAGAGATGGTTGGGTGCATGTTCCTAGCTCTCTGTGCTTCCTTTCATTCATTTATTCTTACCAAAGGCGGTAAATAGGGAGTGAAACATTGGTACATAAGCCTTTCTTTACTGCACCATTGATAAGAGGTAACAGATGAGTGTTTATTTGTAAGATTCAGTTTAATGTATGTGTCCTGAAGGTCATGGGATGCTCAGTTATGTAGTGATAAGTTGTAACGTCCTCCCTCGCAGGCTGAAAGCACTGCATTGGCAAGACTTCGTAGTGATTGTTTTGGTCATAGGTTAGGCTTAAAAAAACAAAAACAAAAGGAAAAATAAATCTAGTGTTAAGGCACTCACCTATCTTGGCATGTAATTCCACACTAATGAAAGTACAAATTTAACTGTTCTGAACCACGTGAAAGAAAAAAGACAGGTGTTATTTTGACAGATATATCATGCAGCTATGCAATTTCCATTTGCCAATGTCCTGGTTTCAAAACCAAAAGACTTGGTCTAAGTTCTGCTACTTGAGAGATGTTTTACAAGAAAGGAAATAGAGGATCTTTGGCTAATAGAATGAAGATCCCCTTCTTATAAGACAGAGATAATTACATTCTCGAATGCCTCTAGCTTTATAGATTCAGTCTTTTACAGCCTCTAATATTCCATAAAGATCCCAAATAATTCACACATCAATCTCTGTTAACCCAGACATAATACGTCAAAAAACATGGAAGTCTTACGTCTGTGTACCTAATCTCCCTGTTCCGTATTTCACCATAAGAGCACTGATTATACTGTTAGATTTTCTTGTGGATTCATTCAACATCGTCTTACTTTCCTGGACCATGTATTATTAAAACCAGAAATAAAACATCAAAGTTAGCAAAATGCCTAATGTCTTACATGGCAGAGCCTCAAGGTTTCAGCTGTACTCCAAAGATATAAGAACTTTTATTTAAACTTTCTAGAGTGACCAACTGCAGCATGTGAAGAAGGAAAAAAAAAAAAAAAAGGATACTGAGACTTGGATGGATGCATCAAGAAGTAGCAATGTTTGTTACCTGCAGAGGTGTTACAAGAAATTTCATCTGCTGCAACGAAGACGAACTGATTTCTGGAAGAGAAGATAAAATTCACAATACTGCTCGCTCAGGGGGAAATGTGCTCTCTGCCAATTGGTTTGATGTGTACAGATGAGGGGAGGGAAGGGTGCTGCTTGTGAATGGATGTTGCGAGGAAATGTGCTGATGTACCTCAGTTTAGAAAGATCATGAAATAAGCATGCGGGGACCTCTTAAAGTCATGGTAATGTCAGAATATGGACCAAGTACAAGCTGTTGCACCAAATATTAATACTATGTGTTACCAAAACATGCCAGAGTATGTTTCTAAGGCGCTAAAGCATTTCAAATTGTGCTTATATGAATTTCTATGCTAAAGAGATTACTTTTTAAAATGAGACTACTGATTAGGAAATATAGTATACTACAACTAGCTAAAAAAATTATAAAATTCCAGACTTATATAAAAAAAAATTTAAGAAAAAGTGCTGTCATTTCAGAAGACAATTTTATATGGTGATGTGTTATGGGTAATAATTTCCTCATCAAACCAGGCTAGCTACATAAAGTTAAGATAACTCAATTGAAATAAACCCTATCTGTCCAAATTATTTTTAATGATGCAGTATTAAAAAGAATTAAAATAGAAAATGCTATTTTACTTTTAGTAAATCCAGAAAGATGATAAAACTATCTTAAGATGTTTCCAACTGTGACATTTTCACAATGCAATGTGTTCTAATTCAGGGGTACTACTTATTCCTCTAGAAATAAGATCATCTGTGTCAGGCAAATTATAAAAATGGCACAATGAGGTTGCCTAGGTTCTTAAATGCCTCAACAGCAGCAGTACAGGAGCTCTGGGTTTTCACTGGTTACATCTTTACCATGCCTATGGATCATCAAGAACCAAGATAAATGCATTTTTTTTTCTTAGAGTGATTGGTTGCTTTTCAAACGTTTTAGTGCTTCAAAAGGTATCTAGTGATTGAACATTTCTTAAAACATCTTAAGAAAGTTTTAC